ACAGCAACAATTAGAAAAGAATGATGGCCGACCACAGCAACAATTAGAAAAGAATGATGGCCGACCACAGCAACAATTAGAAAAGAATGATGGCCGACCACAGCAACAATTAGAAAAGAATGATGGCCGACCACAGCAACAATTAGAAAAGAATGATGGCCGACCACAGCAACAATTAGAAAAGAATGATGGCCGACCACAGCAACAATTAGAAAAGAATGATGGCCGACCACAGCAACAATTAGAAAAGAATGATGGCCGACCACAGCAACAATTAGAAAAGAATGATGGCCGACCACAGCAACAATTAGAAAAGAATGATGGCCGACCACAGCAACAATTAGAAAAGAATGATGGCCGACCACAGCAACAATTAGAAAAGAATGATGGCCGACCACAGCAACAATTAGAAAAGAATGATGGCCGACAACAGCAACAATTAGAAAAGAATGATGGCCGACAACAGCAACAATTAGAAAAGAATGATGGCCGACAATAGCACCTATGACTATATCGTATTCCATGGATGATGGTTTTGCTCTTTTATTTTCGAAAACGGTTTGATTCTGTTTGCGATGCAAAATTGACTGAACATATTTTACTTTATTTTGTTTAACAATTCATTTGTCAAAAGTCAGTTTTCCATCGCCTATTAGTAATTTTTTTGCCTCATAAAGACAAATGAATGAACCTACTGTTTCTATTTTGTCTTCAACAGTGGGCCTGTTGCATTTGTCTTTTTTTGTATGTGCATTTTTCTGATTATTTGTTACGAATTCAGTGAAATGCACTAAGAGACTTGTTAAATAATAGGGTTTACCCCTTAGGCAAAAATAATACTTTAAAATAGCAAAATGAAAGCAATAATAGGAAACTAATGGCAAATTATTTCTAATATTTTCTTATTATATATTTTGAATTTCGTTCGTTATTTTGAAGTATTATTTTTGAAAGTGGAAACCTCTATTTTTTTTTGTACTGATAACTTATTAGGCATTGATAAAAGTAAATGTGAATAATAATCGACCAATAAGTACCCAATAGAAAAGAAAAGAGAACTTTAAATAACAAAAAAAANTACCATTGATTAGCGCAAAGCATCGGTACAAGTTTCAATAAATTAGCGTAAATGGTTGTCGTTTGTGAAAAGCCATCATGCATAGCTGAAATTAAAAGTACATTTGTTTCTTTAATAAATGTACTTGTTTATTTTGCGTTTAAATGGATGCATTTACTTAGTTTCGCACATTGTGCACTTGTTTCTTAATTACAATTTCATTCTTGAGAGACAAATGAATTTTTAACAAACGAAAAGAAACAACGGACGGTATAGATAATTCTTTTGTTTCACGAGAATGTGTCGATTGTTTTATGATTGTCAATTTAGCCAAAATAATATGCATTCGTCTTTTTATTTCTGAATTTGATCTTCCCCTAATAAATATTGGGTAATCTAAAAGAAAATTCTAACTATTGTTGATTTTCGATCTTGATTTGGTAAGATAGGAAGCTCTTACTTCTCCAGACGTTTTTTCTTGTATGTAGGTACATATTTAAATCTGTGTGGAGTGCTCGGTGCGAGTTATAGAGATTTAATCATTGTCATGACATTAAGAAGCCATTGTTCGAAACTGGTATTTTTGAGGTAAAAAAAAGTATTCGAGTCGGACTGTGTGTAGTATTTTATGCCCATGTTCCCTTTATGTATTCTTATCGTCGATTCAGATCATTATCAGACCGGTCCAGTTAAGCTTTCCAGAGGGGGCTGAAACCCGCGACTTGAATCTTAAACACGTCTCGATGTTGGCTGTGCTACATGGTATTGAACGGCTTAGTTTGTTCAAAAAAAAAAAAATATGTATAAAGAAAGAAAGAAAAAAGAAAAAAAAGAAGGTAGTACCGAACTTTCCCCGCTTGCTTCGTGACAAGCAAGAGACCGCTCGAAATGGTTTCGTGTTAAATAAGGCCCGAAGTCGACGACTTCTTGAAACAATCATGAATTCGGTTTTGATAACTTTCAGATTCGAAAAAGTTAATTAGTTATTACATAAGTGCCTACAAATCATAATTGAAAAAAAGGTCTAAAGTCGCACGTCCTTTACGTCCTGGTTGCGTGACTATTGACCTTAAATTGTATTTAAGACGATTTAAATAAAAATAATTAGTTTGGAGCGTTTTAATAAAATTAAAGCTACAAATCACTTACAATTCATTTCATTTTCTCTACGGATAGCTTGAAAACAAATTATTTTCTATAGTGTACCACCCACTTCTTGATTCATTTTTTTTATGGCACAGGATTGTTAAGGAAACAGTTGATTGTCGCCGTTGTCGTCGTTTTTCTTTTGTAAAAGTGGACATTTGATTGGACGATTCGTTTGTGTTTTTGCTTAAAAATAATGGTGTAATGTTAACACGAAATTTCGCGAAACACTCGCCTGTGATGAGGACATTATGTACGGAATTGATTGAAGGAATAGCCGTTAAATTTTCGCGGAATGCTACCTGGATGCATTAAAAAACCTGCCCAAGGTTCAACGGATGATGTAACAAAACAAACGGAATCAATTATACAGGTAAGCACTTTAACGAAAGCGAAAATTGTAATAAGAATTTTGTTAACACTTGAAGTTGTTAAGAAGTTTGCAAATATTTTTATGGAACACTTGCATTATTACGTGATTCCATGTCGTCGGCCCGATTTCTACAGTAGGTATTACCTAATAATAACAATAATAATAAACCCTGAAGCATGTAAAGTCTTTTAGGTCAACTTAATTTTCACGGAAACGGTGACTTAATATTGCGATTACTTATTATTTGTGATTCACGAATCTTAAGCAGTTGAAGACCAAAATTGCTTCAGTTTGTTAGTCGCCAAGTCGCACATTTAACATTAGTCATTCTGGCCACGAACGAACTATTTTTAATAAGTTTCTAGATCGTCTAGGGTTTCGCAATTCTTTTCATAAAGTATCTTGTTTCAAATGATTATTTGCCTACAATATACATACATAATACGTAGTACATATTAGTGATGCTTTTTTATTGAAACTGATTCTTTTGTTTCTTATTGTTCCAGATATACACGGATTGGGCCAACTATTACTTGGAAAAATCACGAAACAAAAAGCGATTTCTTTCGCTGGCCAGGGATTGCTGCGACGGTGTACTCCTAGCCGATTTGATAGAATCAGTTAGTAAGTGTCTTCAACTGTTTCACATTAATAAAGCTTTTGTTTTGTTTAATAGGAAGCACTGTTGTTTTTGTTTTTCGCTAATGTTTTGAGATGAAAGACACTGAAAATACGCAGCTTCATAATTAAGAGATGAAATTTGGTAATTAATAATTCATTAATCTTCTTAAATAAAAACAGAAGTGGTGGCCGATTTTGCAATTCAAACTTCCGCTGGATACTTTGAGAGCTGTTTTAAGTTAACACGTTTTAATATTCAAGTTTCATTTATCGTCTGGGCCGTTTTACAAACGCGAACGAATGAATAATTTATAAAAGGAGCGTCTCCTAAGTCTTCCGTTATTGTCTAATAGATAGAAGGAAAAGAAGAAGAAGAGACAACGGCGTGGGCTAAATTATTATTGTTTGTACTTAACGATTTTTTAAACGCCGTTTAAGGAACGTGTTTTACAATTCATAAAATAGCTCAGACAACTGCGGGGGTGATGAGTGCCCAAGTAGGTGGCAAATTTCAGAAAACAACGGACAAGGTGAAATAAATGAATGTAAAACAATTAAAGGAAACAAGCTAATAACGCAAACACATAAACAATTCGATACTTATGGGAAAACAAAAGAGTGTGACTTGTTTACAATGACAATAAATAACACACATGCAACGACGTTCTTTTTTTCCCCTTGGTATCCGTTTGTCTCGATTGACTCTGTGAAAAATTTCCTTGACATTTTTGTTACACTTCGTGACTTTCTTTATGTTAAATGACCTGTACTTTCGTAATATGTTCTAAATAAGCACCTATGCCATATTATGTACATGCCTACTTTACGTAGACTCCTATGATGCATGTTTCGTAAAATAAATTGGTAGCATTTATTACTCATAATGAGCTGTGACCACTTTTAGAAATGGTCGTTGGGCAAATGGGCGTAAGACGACGGTACTTATACACTTTGATCTTTTTGACGTTTTATTTATTCGCTAAAATACGTATTCAATTGCTTTGTTTTGTTTTGTTACAGCCAACCAAAAAATACCGGACATTAACCGAAAGCCACAAACTTCCGTCCAAATGGTAAGTTGAACATTATCCGTTGGTAATAAACTACTACTATAGTCGATAAACAGATAAAATTTCCAATTTTTTCAAAGGAGGAAATGTATCCTGTGCACACGTGTGAAAGGTCAGGCAATCTATAAAGGTATACGAGAGTGAGAACACCTGTACTTCTTTTGTACCAAAATAAACCACAATAAAAGGCTTACTTCCTTTTGTTCTGCTTCATTGAAAAGGATTACTTCCGCTAATAACACGCACAGATATAAAACACCTACGTGTATTTATGCACGTGTACGATGTCCTGTGCATTGTTGTCTCGTTCAATTTTTGAGCCCTGTATCATTGAAACAAAACGAAACACCAACAAAAAGAATCCTCAAAACAATGTCCAATAAACAACTGATTAAAACATTTTCTGACATTCTCATTTGTCAAAAAACAAAAAGAAGACAAGTCTAAAAACAATGTTTCACAAACAATTGATTCAAATGTTTTTCATCTTCGTAGACAGTCTCGTTTGTTTTCTGCGTTATTATATTAGAGGCTTATTTGAAAGACAGAAATAAGACGGTTATTTTATGTAATAGATGTGTCATTCTTCTTGCGATTCTGAAAGAAAATTATGTGTTTGTAATTCAAATTAGTTTGTCAACACCTCAGGCGTGGGCCCGTGTGGTATGAAACGCTCGTCCTCAGGAAGGATCTATGATTAGTTGCAAATAAAATTCATTAATTCAACATGATTATTATCGAACGTTGCGCAAAGGAACAAGCCTCCATTGTAACATAATCTACGGATGAGTAACCTAATGGCAAAATTATTACCTATTTCTAATAAAAAAAGTTAGTTTCTTTGCTGTGTATTGCGTAAAGAACTAATCGATACAAAGTCGTGGGAAGTCGTTTATTAAGTAATAAAATGTTGCCATTTTCTGTGTTAATAAGCGTAATGGTGGTAATTCTATCGGTTTGAGATAGGACCATTACATAAAAAGAAAGAACGAAGTACATAACATATATTATTACACTATAAAAGTGTGACTTTTGATCTTAAGCAGGACCGTACCCAGATGAATGCTATTTTAGGACATTTTAATCTTTTTATGTACCATCAACGAATATCGAATTTGACATGATTGAAGTGGAGAACAGATTAACAAAATCGTATAAAAGAAGTCAATACAATTTGATATACTTTTATGAAAATTTAATCGGCAATCGAACCGCCAGTAACAAATTTCCTGGCTACGGTCCTGTTCTAAAGCAATTATTATCCGTTTACGTAATTGTATACATACAAGGTATAGGTGAGAAGATTCACCTTGAATGCGAGTAATACACCTTTTTCGACCATAATCTACATTACAATGATTGACAAGGTGCCTGGTTTGTACATAATAAGAACGTGTAACGTCACTCAATTAGCGAATAAAATAATGAGTGGTTTAGAACGTACTTTCGTACTTTAGTCGATGGACTATTTTACCAGTAAAAGTTTCTACCATTAGTTTAAGTTATTCTTGAAGAGGCATGTCTTCTACTATAAGACTTAATAGCTTTTTGCATTCATTTAATTCGCATTCTGATACAGTGAATGCCGTTTATAAAAAGACTCCGTTTACAGCGTCGGAAGTTTTACGTATACTTTATGCCAATTGATTTTATATCGGCTATAGCGCCCCTAGCTCATCATTAAAGACAGTACAACTGTAGGGATAGATGTACAGGGGCAAATGATTAGTATTCTTAGATTTGCAAATGATACATCAGTATCAGCATCCAGCAAGGAGGAGTTAGAGATAGCTTGAAATAAAATTGAAGCGGTATTGTATGAAAATAAATAAAAGTAAAACAAAAATACTGATATGCAAGGGAAGAAAAAGTAGGGAAAGAGCGAATATAAAAATAGGAGACGAAAAATTAGCAGGAGTGGCTGATTTTAGGTATCTAGGAAGTGAGATAAGTCAAGACGGAAGGATTAGTAGGGATATAAAGCAAAGGATAGCGCAGGGTTAATTTAGAAATTCCAAAAAGATTTTTAAAGGTGTATGTTTGGAGCGCGGCGCTGTACGGGTGCGAAACATGGGCGGTGGGTGCGGCGGAAAGGGAAAGGTTAGAAGCGTTCGAAATATGGTGTTACAGGCGAATGATGAGGATAGACTGGATAGAGAAGGTTAGAAATGAAGAGGTATTAGAAAAAATAGGAGAGCAGAGGACATAAATAGAAATAATTAACGACGAGGGTTGTTCTAGTTTTAGGGAATTGCGAAGATTAGCTCAGGATATATAGGAAAGAGTGGAGGTGCGTGTCCAACCAGTCTTAGGACTGACAACCTTATAATGATGATAACGTCCCTATGCGGTCACTATAACCAAATTTTAGTATAACTAGCCGTATCGGCAGCGTCGGAAATCTTACGTATAGTGTACATGAATTGATTTTATATCGGCTATAGCGTCTCTCCGCGGTCACTATAACCAAATTCTACTGTAATTGTAACTGTAATCGACGAATTTTTAATGCGGTAACAATATCACTAATCTTTTAAAGGAAATAACCAAGCTGATACACACTTACACACTTAATCATCTTAAATGGCCCATTGTTTCTAAAAATCCATTCGAATCCATTTGTCATTCAAAAAGTACCACATTCCAGCAGCAGCAGTAATGATCGAAATCTACCATACAACGCATTAATAACTTTTTTTATTATTATTATTTTTACTACTAGTAAACTTGGTATCGGAAAGAATCGCAAATAAGTGTGAATTTACCATACAACAACAATGTGTCACGGTTACAGTTTCGCGTTGTACCTCCGAGGAGCTTGTTGTTGTTGTCTGGTGGTGGAACTTAAAGTACATACGATTGTTGTTGTTGTTATTTTACGTTTGTTGTTAATGGCAGAGACACAAGACACGATCGCTTACGGTTTCCATACGTTTACCATCTCGAATCGAGCAAGCACTTCCGATATTCATTACGTGTAAAACGCGCACCGGTATATCGCTTCTGCTTTTGGCCTTACCTTACCTAGATTATTCCCGACGAATAACAAACCAGAAACGTAGAGGTACGGTTCATTAGTTGGTAAAGTGTTATTAATGGTACCACGGGCCTCGAACCCGCGAGAGAGCTTTTCTCGACGGTACGTAACTCTTTCCCAAGTCGTTCGTTGTAATTTACGTATTACGAATGTTTTTTTTTTTTTTGGCAAAAGTTTCGGTCAAGATATAGTGTTACGTATTAGGTACACTTCGTTTGTTCTGTTATCAGTTTATTCTTAAAAAAAATTCCGCGTACCAGATACAATCATATGTATGTTGTGATACCGTGACTTCGTCTTTACCAGAACCATTTGGATATATTTCTCTGGTAGTAATGGGTGAGTTTGATGTCGAAAAAGTACCATTTACATACGCAAGTATTATCGAAATAAAATTCTTAGGGATAATCTTCCACTTTATGTTATTTCTAAAAAGGAAGAATTATACAAAATAAGAGAGGAGAAGGAGGTATTCAAAAGGCAGAAATCACTATGGAAGTCTATAATAAATAGGCGAGATAGGTTGGTAGTTAGAGACATATTAGAAGCAGAAACAGGAGTTAAAAGGAGTAGAGTTAGACCTAGATTAAATTAATGTTCACAAATAGTTAAGGATTTTGGATGGAGAGGTATTAGAAAGAATAGGAGAACAGAGGACTCTATGGAAGTTAATAAAAAATAGGCAAGGAGGAATTAGAGATAGCTTTAAATAAAATGGAAGCTGTACTGACAGATCAGTACTGTATGAAAATAAATAAAAGTAAAACTAAAATACTGGTATGCAAGGGAAGAAAAAGTAAGGAAAGAGCGAATATAAAGATAGGAGACGAAAAATTAGAAGTAGTGGCTGATTTTAGATACCTAGGAAGTCAGATAAGTGAGGATGGAAGGAGTAGTAGGGATATAAA